AGAAATAAAAGGTATTCAAATTGGCAAAGAAGAAGTCAAACTCTCCTTTTCGCAGACGACATGATACTTTATGTGGAAAACCCAAAAGACTCCACCCCCAAATTACTAGAACTCATCCAGCAATTCAGTAATGTGGCAGGATACAAAATCAGTGCACAGAAATCGGTTGCTTTGTTATACACTAACAACGCAACTGTAGAAACAGAAATTAAAGAAACGATTCCATTTACAATAGCACCAAAAACCATAAAAAACCTCGGAATAAACTTAACCAAAGAGGTAAAGGATCTATACTCTAGGAACTACAGAACACTCATGAAAGAAATTGAAGAAGACACAAAAAGATGGAAAAATATTCCATGCTCATGGATCGGAAGAATAAACATTGTTAAAATGTCTATGCTACCCAGAGCAATCTATACCTTCAATGCTATCCCGATCAAAATTCCAATGACATTTTTCAAAGTGCTGGAACAAACAATCCTAAAATTTGTATGGAATCAGAAAAGACCCCGAATCGCCAAGGAGATGTTGAAAAAGAAAAAGAAAGCTGGGGGCATCACGTTGCCCGATTTCAAGCTATATTACAAAGCAGTGATCACCAAGACAGCATGGTACTGCCACAAAAACAGACATACAGACCAATGCAACAGAGTAGAGAACTCAGATATGGACCCTCAACTCTATGGTCAAATAATCTTTGACAAAGCAGGAAAAAACATGCAATGGAAAAAAGACAGTCTCTTCAATAAATGGTGCTGGGAAAATTGGACAGCCACATGCAGAAAAATGAAACTCGACCATTCTCTAACACCATTCACAAAGATAAACTCAAAGTGGATGAAAGACTTCAATGTGAGAGAGGAATCCATCCAAATCCTAGAGGAGACCATAGGCAGTAACCTTTTGACATCAGCCACAGCAACTTCTTTCAAGATACATCTCCAAAAGCTAGTGAAACAAAAGCAAAAACGAACTTTTGGGACTTCACCAAGATAAAAAGCTTCTGCATAGCAAAGGAAACAGTCAACAAAACAAAGAGGCAACCCACAGAATGGGAGATGATATTTGCAAGTGACACTACAGATAAAGGGCTGGTATCCAAAATCTATAAAGAACTTCTCAAACCCAACACCCAAAAAACAAATAATCAAGTCAAAAAGTGGGCAGAAGAGATGAACAGACACTTCTCTGAAGAAGACATACAAATGGCTAACAGACACAGGAAAAAATGTTCATCATCATTAGCCATCAGGGAAATCCAAATCAAAACCACACTGAGATACCACCTTACACCAGTTAGAATGGCAAAAATGGGCAGGGAAAGAAACAACAAATGTTGGACAGGTTGTGGAGAAAGGGGAACCCTCTTACACTGTTGGTGGGAATGCAAGTTGGTACAGCCACTTTGGAAAACAGTGTGGAGGTTCCTCAAAAATTTAAAAATAGAGATACCCTATGACCCAGCAATTGCACTACTGGGTATTTACCCCAAAGACACAGATGCAGTGAAAAGAAGGGCCATATGCACCCCAATGTTCATAGCAGCAATGTCCGCAATAGCCAAACTGTGGAAAGAGCCGAGGTGCCCTTCAACAGATGAATGGGTAAAGAAGATGGGGTCCATATATACAATAATATTACTCAGCCATCAGAAAAGATGAATACCCAACTTTTACATCAACATGGATGGGACTGGAGGAGATTATGCTAAGTGAAATACATCAAGCAGAGAAAGTCAATTATCATACGGTTTCACTTATTTGTGGAACATAAGGAATAACATGGAGGACATTAAGAAAAGGAAGGGAAAAATGGGCAGGGGGAATTGGAGGGAGAGATGAACCATGAGAGACTATGAACCTGAGAAACAAACAGGTTTTTAGAGGGGAGGGGGGATTGGTTAGCCTGGTGATGGGTATTAAGGAGGGCACGTCCTGCATGGAGCTCTGGATGTTATACGAAAACAATGGATCGTGGATCACTACATCAAAAACTAATGATGTATTGTATGGTGACTAACATAATAAAATTTAAAAATAAAAATAATAAAAAAATTTTTAAAAGTAAAATAAAATAACTTGTTTTATGAGGCCACCATTACCATGATCCCCAAACCAAAGACCCCCATCAAAAAGGAGAATTATAGACCAATATCCTTGATGAACACAGATGCAAAAATTCTCACCAAAATATTAGCCAATAGGATCCAACAGTACATTAAAAGGATTATTCACCACGACCAAGTGGGATTTCTCCCTGGGCTGCAAGGTTGGTTCAACATCTGCAAATCAATCAATGTGATACAATACATTAATAAAAGAAAGAACAAGAACTATATGATCCTCTCAATAGAGGCAGAAAAAGCATTTGACAAAGTACAGCATCCTTTCTTCATCAAAACTCTTCAGAGTATAGGCATAGAGGGTACATACCTCAATATCATAAAAGCCATCTATGAAAAACCCACAGTGAATATCATTCTCAATGGGGAAAAACAGAGCTTTCCCCCTAAGGTCAGGAACACGGCAGGGATGTCCACTATCACCACTGCTATTCAACGTAGTATTAGAAGTCCTAGCCACAACTATCAGACAACAAAAAGAAATAAAAGGCATCCAAATCACTGTTTGCAGATGATATGATGCTTTATGTGGAAAACCCAAAAGACTCCACCCCAAAACTGCTAGAACTTATACAGGAATTCAGTAAAGTGGCAGGATATAAAATCAATGCACAGAAATCAATGGCATTCCTATACACCAACAACAAGACAGAAGAAAGAGAAATTAAGGAGTCGATCCCATTTACAATTGCACCCAAAACCATAAGATACCTAGGAATAAATCTAAGCAAAGAGAGAAAGGATCTGTACTCAGAAAACTATAAAATACTCATGAAAGAAATTGAGGAAGACACAAAGAAATGGAAAAACGTTCCATGCTCATGGATTGGAAGAACAAATATTGTGAAGATGTCAATGCTACCTAGAGCAATCTACACATTCAATGCAATCCCCATCAAAATACCATCCACTTTTTTCAAAGAAATGGAACAAATAATCCTAAAATTTGTATGGAACCAGAAAAGATCCCGACTAGCCAGAGGAAGGTTGAAAAAGAAAAGCAAAGCTGGCGGCATCACAATTCCGGACTTCCAGCTCTATTACCAAGCTGTCATCATCAAGACAGTATGGTATTGGCACAAAAACAGACACATCGATCAATGGAACAGAATAGAGAGCCCAGAAATGGACCCTCAACTCTATGGTCAACTCATCTTTGACAAAGCAGGAAAGAATGTCCAATGGAACAAAGACAGTCTCTTCAACAAATGGTGTTGAGAGAATTGGACACCCACATGCAGAAGAATGAAACTGGACCATTTCCTAACACCACACACAAAAATAGACTCCAAATAGTTGAAAGACCTCAGTGTGAGACAGGAGTCCATCAACATCCTAAAGGAGAACACAGGCAGCAACCTCTTCGACCTCAGCCACAGCAACTTCTTCCTAGAAACATCGCCAAAGGCAAGGGAAGCAAGGGCAAAAATGAACTATTCGGACCTCATCAAGATAAAAAGCTTTTGCACAGCAAAGGAAACAGTCAACAAAACCAAAAGACAACCAACAGAATGGGAGAAGATATTTGCAAATGACATATCAGATAAAGAGCTAGTATCCAAAAATCTATAAAGAACTTATCAAACTCAACACCCAAAGAACAAAGAATCCAATCAAGAAATGGGCAGAAGACATGAACAGACATTTTTCCAAAAAAGACATCCAAATGGCCAACAGACACATGAATAATTGCTCAACATCGCTCGGCATCAGGGAAATCCAAATCAAAACCTCAATGAGGTATCACCTCACACCAGTCAGAATGGCTAAAATTAACAAGTCAGGAAACGACAGATGTTGGCAAGGATGCGGAGAAAGGGGAACCCTCCTACACTGTTGGTGGGAATGCAAGCTGGTGCAGCCACTCTGGAAAACAGTATGGAGGTTCCTCAAAAAGTTGAAAATAGAGCTACCATATGATCCAGCAATTGCACTACTAGGTATTTACCCCAAAGATACAAATGTAGGGATCCAAAGGGGTACGTGCACTCCAATGTTTATAGCAGCAATGTCCACAATAGCCAAACTGTGGAAAGAACCAAGATGTCCATTGACAGATGAGTGGATAAAGAAGATGTGGTGCATATATATACAATGGAATATTATGCATCCATTAAAAGGAATGAGATCTTGCCATTTGCCATGACATGGATAGAACTGGAGGGTGTTATGTTGAGCGAAATAAGTCAATCAGAGAAAGATATGTATCATATGATCTCACTGATATGAGGAATTCTTAATCTCAGGAAACAAACTGAGGTTGCTGGAGTGGTGGGGGGTGGGAGGGATGGGGTGACTGGGTGATAGACATTGGGGAGGGTATGTGTTATGGTGAGCGCTGTGAATTGTGTAAGACTGTTGAATCACAGACCCGTACCTCTGAAACAAATAATACATTATATATTAAATTAAAAAAAAAAAAGATAGTAGGAAGGGAGAAATGAAGGGGGGATATTGGTGGGGGAGACGAACCATGAGAGACTATGGACTCTGAGAAACAAACTGAGGGTTCTAGAGGGGATGGGGGTGGGAGGATGGGTTAGCCTGGTGATGGGTATTAAAGAGGGCACGTACTGAATGAAGCACTGGGTGTTATACGCAAACAATGAATCATGGAACACTACATCTAAAACTAATGATGTAATGTATGGTGATTAACATAACATAATAAAAAAAGAAAGAAAAGTCATTTGTGGGTGCAAGGGAGTATCTAACAGTAAGTAGGAATGCCTGCATGTCTGCTCTTCCCACCCACCCTGGGAGAGGCAGGGCCTCATAGAGGAAGCCAGTGTGTTGGCCTGCCTCCTCCTAGTCCATAGCTTGCCAGGCCTCTATGGGATGCCTCCACCTTGCCTATCCTGGGATGTGCCCTTACCTGGATGGTGTCCTGAGCCAAGGCTGGCTTGAAGTCTCTGCGCAGATCTTGAACTTTTTCAAAGAAACAGGAGAGTCTCTAGGATAGAGATGTACAGATCAGAGAGCCCGAATTGTGGGTTGGGGAGCTGGGGGAAAATGGGTGGATCAGGCGAGCTGCACAGAGGGATTCCTGCCTCCTGGTCCCTGCTGGGGCCACTCACCTGGCTCTTGATTCCAGGGGGTGGGGTCCAGGTGGGGAAGGACACCTCTGCAGGGGATAGAACACCATTCATTAGGTGTGAGAGTATCTGTGTGTGTCAGGGGTGGGGTCTGGGGTCAGGTCAGACCAGATACCTTCACAGGTGGTGTTGGGCTGCCTATTCTGGAATCCGGGTTTGGGCTCCCAGCCCCGGCGACAGTGGCATTTGTACGAGCCCATGGTGTTGATGCAGACGGTGGACTCGTGGCACGTAGGCTGCCCAGAGCTGCACTCATCCACATCTGGGGACACAAAGATGGGAGTCAGGACCCCTTTCCCCTCCATGTCCTGCCCCCTTTTCCTGTGTTAGTGTCTCCCCTTGGCTGGAGGTGATATCACCCGCTGAACCCACATCCAGGTGATGAAGGGGTCATGGGAAGTGTGGGAAGCCTGACATGTAGCACATGAGCCCTGTACAGATGTGCAGGTTGTAACTATAGAAATACCTTTGTCCCACGTAGCAATTAGCTGCTGTCTGGGGTCTCCAAGGAGCCTGCTCCTTGGTACCCCAGCTCCTTCCCCAAGACCCCCAGATTTTTTCCAACCAGTCTCAAAAGAATTAACTCCTGGCACAACAGGGCACCCCCAGGGGTCATTCTGCTTGGTTTGTGTCAGTGCCACTGAATATGTGATCAGATGTTCTGAGTGTGGGTCTCCAGGATGTGGCATCTGAGCTCTGTACCTTCACAGACGGTGTTCTTGGGGCCATTGCGGGACCCAGGAACTGGCTTCCAGCCAGGGCGGCAGCGGCACTCGTAGCCCCCAATGTTGTTGAGGCAGTGGGTGGAGTTGTGACATGGGTTCTGCCCTGACGTGCATTCATTCACATCTGAGGACAAAGCCAGAGGGTCAGGGTCCCCTCCATTCACTGCACCCATCCTGCCTGCCCTTTCTCTCAGATTCCTTAGTACTTCACACCAAGGAAAGACACACACACACACACACACTATGTACCAGCCACCTAGCCTGTCAAGATAAACTTTATGATAGCATTTTCTATTGTAAAAACTCCATAATCTCAGATTGTCCCTGTAAGGTAGACAGGGTAGAACCATGTGTGTAAGACAAAGCTGAGACCCTTCGCATATGGTGCAGATTAGACTAAGTGTCAGGTTCAGGGAGGGGGGAGACTGTGATGGACCTCTAACCAAAGAGGCTGTGACACTGAGCTGCCCTAGAAGTGACACTTCTGCTAGAATGTGACAGATGAGGAGGGGCAAGTAGGGGTGTTGCTCATAGAGACCAGGGGCTCCACAAGGAAACCCCAGGCACAGAAAGCCCTGCTGCTTCCCTGCTCTGTGGACGACCTTCTTGGGAGGTAAATCCTTGGGCAGAGCAAACACCTGGAGTTTCGGGAACCTGAGGGTCTTCTCCCTTCTCCTGGGGCTACGGGATCCACCTCGGCCCCTCCCCAGCTCCAGCGCAGCCTCACAGCATCTGCCAGGGCCTCTACCTGTGCACAGATTTGGGTCACCCGGGCTGAGCTCCAAGCCGGGCGGGCACTCACAGGTGTACCTGCCCTGGGTGTTGGTGCAGATGCCGCAGCTTTTACAGATTCGGGGTTTCAGCTGACATTCGTCCACGTCTGCAGGGGGAAGGAGAGGGTGATGGGTGCCTGCAGCTGTGTCCTGGGATAGAAGCATCTGGACGGCCCCACTGTCTCTTCTCTGGTGAGTGGGTGCCTTTTCTAATTGACATGGAGGCGTGCTATGGGCGAGCATGGTGGCCCAGATGTTCTGTTTCCAGATGTTGCCAGAAGTGGTCCAAGTCCTCCCCGTCTGCCAGCCCTGGCTCCCTCGGCCTCTCTGGGCAGCTCCCAGCTGGGGCAGGGACATCACGGCCACCTGTGTCCCAGCCTGAGGACTTGGACAAGTCCAGGGTGGGCCTTCCTGGGAACCAAGTGCAGGGGAAATGCTGCATTCCCGGACCAGGACCTGTCATGGCTCCCAGCGATGGCCTTTGTCCTAACTCCCCCAGGGTGGCCGCTCACTGGCTGAGTTCACGCTTGGAATCCCAGTGATCCTTGCAGAACACTCCCATCCATGCAAACTCTGAGATTCCATCTCCACGGAGATGGACAAGACCCACCCCTGAGCCAGGCCCTCCAAGGATGAGGCTTCTGGGTGGGGCAGGGAGAGTAAGGATGGTTCCAGACAGGTCAGGGCTGTCCAGACAGTGGGCACCAGGCTGGGGTGGACAGTGTCACTGATGTCCAGTCAGGCAGCCTTGGGACAGTGAAGATGCCTTTTTCTGGCAGGTGCTGATGAGCGAGAGGTGGCCCATGTTTCTGTCTTCTTGGCCTTTGGCCTCCCACCAGGGATGCACACACTGGGCCCAGCTGAATGGGGCTCAGCCTCCGTCTTCAGTCCCTGAGCGGTCCAGTGCTCCATGGGACCTGAGTTGACCTCCTCAGGAGAGGGTTAGACCCAGGGCAATGGTCCTGGATGACAGCCTCTCTTGTCATCTGGTCCAGACAGGAGCTTCTGGGTTCACCTGACTCTCTAAGTGTGTGTGCATGTGTGTGCGTGGGGTGGGGGGTTGGTGTCACCTGGCCCACCCCAAACAAAACATCCTCTGGGTCCTGGTCATCCAGGCTGAATCAAAGCTACCAGGGAGGGTCAGGATAGAGCCTTGTGCAGGGAAACAGAGGAAGGCTGAATGGCTGAGAAGCTGGGGTCAGGGTGTCAGGAAGAGCCTTCTCCAGGTGAGATGCTGGCTAGGGCAGGGCCAGCCGCACACCCGCCCTCAAATCTCCATCCTCCCACCTTTCCTGATGGGGTCCCTGGGTCTGTCATGGCCGAGGGCCTGAGAGGGCTCCTGGTATGGCCAGGCCCATGTGGGCTCCAGTGGGGGCAGGTCTCATTCAGGCGGTTACTGATGGTGGTGAAGAGGATGGATATTGCACCTCCTGCCAAGTATCTTGAATGCCATTCCCCTCTTGTTTTATGCAAATAAGATGCTGGGGAGGCAGGGGGACAGTCCAAACATCTGAAAGTGACCCTCCGGGGAGGGTTCTGAGCCTTGGGATTCAGAGAGTTTCGGGACACCAGGTGGGTGCCTAGGACGTCCTCTGATGCCTGGGGGAAAGTGGAGCAAGGCCCTGGGTCTCCCGTCTGCAGCAGATCCCACTGCCATGACATGGCAGCATGTGTCCTCAGCTGCGGCAAAGGCTGAGCCCGTCCCAGAGCTAGGTCTTGAGGCAGCAGGCCCTGGGCCAAGCCAGCAGACTGTTCTTGCCCTGTCACGCATCTTGAGGTCCACAGTGGTCCCTCTCCCGTCTCTTGTGCATCCATGTCCCTGCCCAGCGGCCTGACCGAGCCCCCTCTCTCAGCCCTGGCCTGTTCTGATACAGCAATAGAGCCTCTCTGTAACCACAGCGACCACCCATGCTGGGGGCTCACAGCAGTCGGGGGGCGGCACCCCCTGTCCAGGCATATGTCACGGAAAGGCTCTGTCCTCTGGCCAGGCCACAGGTTTGGGGCCGAGCATTCACCCAGAGGCCCCTAGGGAGCAGCAGAGCTGTGGACAGAGCCCTCCCCCTGGGCCCCACGGACGCGCAGGTCCTCCCTTCCCTCCCACTGGCAAGGCTCTGCAGCCCTCTGTCTGCACGCAGGGCAGGACAGCGCTGGGGACCAAGGCTGTAGGCTCTTCTCTCCACAGCAGGGAGGGCCTATGGACCCACCCCAGAGCCCCAGCTCACCTCGTCCTCGCCTCTCACTTCTGCTCTCCTCCCCTGCTCTCTCTCTCTCTCTATTCTGTGCTAACCCCCTCCCTCTGGGCAAGTGGTTGCTCCTGCCCACTCACTGCTGGCCCTCTCTGCCCCCTGTGGATACCCGAAGCCCCTTCCTGTGCTTGCTGCTCTCCCTGGGAGGGGGGCAAGTCCTGGTGATGCACAGAGGCCGGGCTTCACCTGGGCCCGCACTGTGGCATCACCTGGCAAGACCACGGCAAGAGATGTGACTGCGGTGGGGGGTGGACGGGAGCAGCCGGTCTCCATGCCCATCCTGGGGCGGACCCCAGGGGTGCCCATCTTGGAGGGGGTGCATTAATCATGATGAGGATCATTCAAAATCCAACAGCCACCATTCTGTGCTTTGCTGTCTCTATTTTCCCAGCAATTCTATGAGGTAAGCACCATTGTCACTCCCTTTTTACAGATGGGTAAATAGCCACAGAGCAGCGAAAGAACTTGTCCAAGGTCACACAGTTAACAAAAAGCAAAGCTACTTTTCTTTTTATCTGTAAAAAAATAGGGACTCTTTAAAAACACACACACACACACACACAAAAATCACAATAATGTTATCACATCTTGCACATTAACAGTGATTTCCGAATAAGTGTCCTGGCCAGTGTCACACACACACAGCTATCACAGCTATCAAGTGGCAAAGTCAGGATTTGGGCCCTTGGCCTTCACACTACCCTGCCTCTCTGTGCTGGAGGCTCAGGAACAGGCAGACAGATGTGGGATGATTCAGGAATGGCTCTGGTGACCCCAAACCTCATGGACGAGGAGATGGAAAGTGCGGGGTGGCTCTTACCTTGACACGTGTTCTCACTCTCATTCCTGAACGTTCTTGCCTGGGAAGCAAGCTCATACCCTTGGATGCACGTGCAGTAGAAGCTCCCCTCTGTGTTCTGGCAATCTGCGAATTTTCCACAGGACACTGCCGAGGATGGTCCACACTCGTTGATGTCTGGAACACAACAGGGCAAAGGATCACCTTTCAAAGGTGTGAGTTCCCATAGGGCAGAGGCGCTGGTCTCCAGCCCTACTCTGCCATAGAGACTGGACAGAACTCAGCTCACAGTTTGTTGGATGAGCTGGAGCCAGCTGCTCCAAACGCCTGCTCACTGTTCTGCTCATCTCTGCTCTCTGGCTGGGCCTGAGGCACCTAGATTCAGACACTCTGCTGTGCCATCATGGGGGCTGGAAGGAGGTCTGCAACTCCTTCTGCAGGGTGGTGTAGACAGAGGAACTGAGACTCTGAACTACTGGGGACCTGGGAGTGGGCTCCAGTCAGGGTGACCATGGCACTGAAGGCCACTCTTGAAGCTCAGTCAGTGAAGGGAGTCATGGCTGGATGACACTCACCATTCACACTTGAGATAACACCAAGAGGTCAATCCACTGTCCACCTGCCTTCAAGATGGGATGGAATGGAGTGGGGGACAGGTGGGAATGAGGCATACAGGAGGGGAATACATGACAATTTGAAATTCTCAACCTCAGTCATGCTTCCTTAAAGCAGCTGGGATCCAGTCACGCCATCAGCAGCTCTCCTTGCCATGCTCACCCAGCCATGATTCTCCATGAGATACACAAGCAAATGCAGGGATCCGTTAGGGATACCTCTCAGGCATAGAGGGGCTGGACGGTAGTCACAACACCACCTTTTTCTTTTTCATGATAAAATTTACTTTCCCCCTGGCGAGGGGAGGAAGATGGTGGAGGAATAGGGACCCTAGTTTCATCTGGTCCCTGGAATTTGGCTAGTTAGCTATCAAATCATTCTGAACAATTGCAAACTCAACCAGATATAAAAAAAAAAAAAAAGAATTGCTGAAAGTCTATAAATAGAAAACAGACCACTTTTACAAGAATGACAAGACAGAAGAACTCACCCCAAAAAAGAGAACAAAAGGCAGTACTCACTGCCAGGGACTTAATCAATATGGATATAAGTAAGATGTGGGAACTCGAATTTAAAATAATGATTATAAAGACACTAGCTGAGCTTGAAAAAAGCATAGAAGACACTAGAGAAAGGGTTCTGGAGAAATAAAAGAACTAAAATCTAATCAGGTTGAAATAAAAAAAGCTATTAATGAGATGCAGTCATTGATGGATGCTCTTACTGCTAGGATAAACAAGGCAGAAGAGAGAGTCAGTGTTATAGAAGATAAAATTATAGAGAATAAAGAAACAGAAAAAGAGAGATAAACAACTACTGGATCACAAGGGGAGGATTCCAGATATCAGTGATGCAATAAAGTGAAACAATGTTGGAATAACTGGGGTCCCAGAGGAAGGGGAAAGGGGGGAGCAGAAGGTTATTTGAGCAAATTATAGCTGAGAACTTCCTTAATCTGGGGAAGGAAACAGGGCATTCAAGTCCAGGAGGCAGAGAACCCCCCTCAAAATCAATAAAAATAGGTCAACACCTTGGCATACACTAGTGAAGCTGGCAAATTTCAGTGATAAGGAGAAATTCCTGAAAGCAGCTCAGGCAAGAGGTCCTTAACCTACAAGGGTAGAAACCTAAGGCTGGCAGCAGAACTATCAACAGAGACCTGGCAGGTCAGAAAGGATTGGCATGATATATTCAGGGTGTTAAATGAGAAATATATGCACCAAGAATGCTTTATCCTGCAAGGCTGTCATTCAGAATAGAAGGAGAGATAAAGAGCTTTCAGGACAAACAGAAACTAAAAGAATTTCTGATCACTAAACCAGCCCTGCAAGAAATATTAAAGAGGATCCTTTAAGTGAAGAGAGAACCCAAAAGTAACAAAGACCAGAAAGGAACAGAGACAATATACAGAAACAGGGACTTTACAGGTAATACAATGGCACTAAATTCATATCTTTCAATAATTACTCTGAATGTAAATGGGCTAACACAGGTTATCAGATTGGATAAAAAAGCAAGACCCATCCAAAAGCTGACTACAAGAGACTCATTTTAGACCCAAAGACTCTTCCAGATTGAAGGTTGAGGGGGTGGAAAATATTTATCACGTTAATGGACATCAAAAGAAAGCTGGGGTAGCAATCCTTATATCAGTTAAAAATAGAGCTACCCTGTGACCCATAAATCGCACAACTGGGTATTTACCCTGAAGATACAGATGTAGTGAAAATAAGAGCTACATGGACCCCAATGTTCATAGCAGCAATGTCCGCAGTAGCCAAACTGTGGAAGGAGCCAAGATGCCCTTCAATATGTGAATGGATAAAGAAGATGTGGTCCATATATACAATGGAATATAACTCAGCCATCAGAAAGGATGAATACTCACCATTTGCATCGACATGGATGGAACTGGAGGCCATTATGCTAAGTGAAATAAGTCAAGCAGAGAAAAACAATAATTATATGGTTTCACTTATTTGTGGAACATAAGGAATAGCATGGAGGACATTAGGAGAAGGAAGGGAAAAATGAAAATGAAAGGGGGAAAATCAGAGGGGGAGACAAACCATGAGAGACTCTGGACTCTGGGAAACAAAATGAGGTTTTCAGAGGGGTGGGGTTTGGGAGGGATGAGTTAGCCCAGTGATAGGTATTAAGGAGGGCTTGCATTGCAATGAGCACTCGGTGTTACACGCAATGAATCATGGAACACTACATCAAAAACTAATGATGTACTGTATGGTGACTAACATAACATAATAAAATAAAATAAAAACTAATGAAGTACTCAATGGTGACTAACATAATATAATAAAAATATAAATAAATAAATATATATATGCCATGTTCCTGGATAAGCAATCTCAACATTTAAAAGATTAATTTATTTCTAATTAATTCAAAAATAAAATATAATTCTAATAAACATTCAAATAGAAAAAGAAAAATTGGATTTAGTCACCATACAATACATCATTAGTTATTGATGTAGTGATCCACGATTCATTGTTTTCATATAACACCCAGTGCTCCATGCAGTACGTGCCCTCCTTAATACCCATCACCAGACTAACCCATCCCCCCACCCCTCTCCCCTCTAAAACCCTCAGTTTGTTTCTCAGAGTCCATAGTCTCTCATGGTTCATCTCTCCCTCCGATTTCCTCCCCTTCATTTTTCCCTTCCTTCTACTGTCCTCCATGCTATTCCTTATGTTCCACAAATAAGTGAAACCCTATGATAATTGACTTTCTCTGCTTGACTTATTTCACTTAGCATAATCTCCTCCAGTCCCATCCATGTTGATGTAAAAGCTGGGTATTCATCCTTTCTGATGGCTGAGTAATATTCCATTGTATATATGGACCCCATCTTCTTTATCCATTCATCTGTTGAAGGGTATCTTGGCTCTTTCCACAGTTTGGCTATTGCGGACATTGCTGCTATGAACATTGGGGTGCATATGGCCCTTCTTTTCACTACATCTGTGTCTTTGGGGTAAATACCCAGCAGTGCAATTGCTGGGTCATAGGGTAGCTCTATTTTTAAATTTTTGAGGAACCTCCACACTGTTTTCCAAAGTGGCTGTACCAACTTGCATTCCCACCAACAGTGTAAGAGGGTTCCCCTTTTTCCACAACTCTCCAACATTTGTTGTTTCTTGCCTTGCCAATTTTTGCCATTCTAACTGGTGTAAGGTGGTATCTCAATGTGGTTTTGATTTGAATTTCCCTAATGGCTAATGATGATGAAAATATTTTCATGTGTCTCTTAGCCATTTGTATGTCTTCTTTGGAGAAGCATCTCTTCATGTCTTCTGCCCATTTTTTGACTTGATTATTTGTTTTTTGTGTGTTGAGTTTGAGAAGTTCTTTATAGATCTTGGATACCAGCCCTTTATCTGTAGTGTCATTTGCAAATATCTTCTCCCATTCTGTGGAAAGACTCCACCCCCAAATTACTAGAACTCATACAGCAATTCAGTAATGTTGCAGGATACAAAATGAGTGCACAGAAATCAGTTGCTTTCTTATACACTAACAATGCAACTGTAGAAAGAAAAATTAGAGAAATGATTCCATTTACAATAGCACCAAAAATCATAAGATACCTCAGAATAAACCTAACCAAAGAGGTAAAGGATGTATACTCTAGGAACTACAAAACACTCATGAAAGAAATTGAAGAAGACAAAAGAAGACAAAAAGATGGAAAAATATTCCATGCTCATGGATCGGAAGAATAAACATTGTTAAAATGTCTATGCTACCCAGAGCAATCTATACCTTCAGTGCCATCCCGATCAAAATTCCAATGACATTTTTCAAAGTGCTGGAACAAACAATCCTAAAATTTGTATGGAATCAGAAAAGACCCTGAATCGCCAAGGAAATGTTGAAAAAGAAAAACAAAGCTGGGGGCATCACGTTGCCCAATTTCAAGCTATATTACAAAGCTGTGATCACCAAGACAGCATGGTACTGCCACAAAAACAGACATATAGACCAGTGGAACAGAATAGAGAGGCCAGATGTGGACCCTCAACTCTATGGTCAAATAATCTTTGACAAAGCAGGAAAAAATATGCAATTGAAAAAAGTCTCTTCAATAAATGGTGCTGGGAAAATTGGACAGCCACATGCAGAAGAATGAAACTCGACCATTCTCTAACACCATACACAAAGATAAACTCAAAATGGATGAAAGACCTCAATGTGAGACAGGAATCCATCCAAATCCTAGAGGAGAACATAGGCAGTAACCTCTTTGACATCGGCCACAGCAACTTCTTTCAAGATACATCTCCAAAGGCTAGTGAAACTAAAGCAAAAATGAACTTTTGGGACTTCATCAAGATAAAAAGCTTTGGCACAGCAAAAGAAACAGTCAACAAAATGAAAAATTGATTTTAAACCGAAGACTGTAATAAGAGTTGAAGAAGAACACTGTATCATAATCAAAGGGTCTATCCAACAAGAAGATGTCATAATTTTAAATATTTATGCCCCTAACTTGGGAGTAGCCAATTTTATAAACTAATAAATAACAAAATTATACAAATACATTGATAATAATACAAGAATAGTGGGGGTCTTTAACAACTCACTCACAGCAATGGACAGATTATCTAAGCAGAAGATCAACAAGAAAACAAGAGCTTTGAATGACACACCGGACCAGATGGACTTCACAGATATATACAGAGAATTCCATCCTAAATCAACAGAATACTCATTCTTCTTGGGTGCACATGGAACATTCTCCAGAATAGATCACATAGTGAGTCACAAATCAGGTCCAACCAGTACCAAAATATTGGGATTATTCCCTGCCAATTTTCAGACCATAATGCTTTAAAACTTAATTCATTCACAAAAGGAAATTTGGAAGGAACACAAATACATGGAATTTAAAGAACATCCTACTAAAAAATGAATCAGTCAAGTAGGAAATTAAAGAAAAATTTTTAAAATATATGAAAGCAAATGAATATGAAAACACAACTCTTCAAAACCTTTGGGATGCTGCAAAGGTGGTCCTAAGAGGGAAGTACATAGCACTACAAGACTTCCTCAAAAAACAAGAAAAATCTCAAACACACACCTAACATTATACCTGGAAGAGCTGAAGAAAAAAAAAACATCAAATAAAGCCTAAACCTACCAGGAGAAAAGAATTAATAAAGATTAGAGCAGAAATGAATGAAATAGAAACCAAAAGAACAGTAGAACAGATCAACGAAACTAGGAGCTGGTTCTTTGAAAGAATTAATAAGATTGATACACTCCTGAAAGAATTAATAAGATTGATAAACTTGAATAGCCAGACTGTTGGAAAAGAAAGGAGAAATGACACAAATTAATAAAATCATGACTGAAAGAGGAGAGATCTAACCAACACCAAAGAAATACAATTATAAGAACATATTATCAGCAACTATATGCCAACAAATTAGGCAAACTGGAAGAAATGGATGCATTCCTAGAGATGTATAAACTACCAAAACTGAAAAAGGAAGAAATAGAAGACCTGAACAGACCCATAATCAGGAAGGAAATTGAAGCAGTAATCAAAAATGTCCCAACAAACAACACTCCAGGGCTGGTGGCTTCCCAGGGGAATTCTACCAAAGATTTAAAGAAGAAATAATACCTATTCTTCTAAAGCTGTTTCAAAAATGTGAAATGGAAGGAAAACTTCCAAACTCTTTTAATGAGGCCAGCATTACCTTGATCCCAAAACCAAAGACGCCACCAAAAAATGGAAAATTACAGACCAATATCCCTAATAAACATGGATACTAAATTCTCCCCAAGCTACTAACCAATGTACCAACAGTACATTAAAAGGATTATTCACCACCACCAATGGGATTTATTCCTGGACTGAACTGTGGTTCAATATGCATAAATCAGTCAATGTGATACACTACATTAATAAAAGAAAGGAAAAGAACCATATGCTCCTCTCAGTGGTTGCAGAAAAAGCATTTGACAAAGTACAGAATACTTTCTTGATTAAAACTCTCCACGGTGTAGGGATAGAGGGAACATACCTCAATATCATAAAAGACATATATGAAAAGCTCACAGAAAATATCATTCGCAACAGGGGAAACCTGAGAGCTTTTCCCCTAAGGTCAGGAAAACGACAGGGATGTCCACTCTCACCACTCTTGTTCAACAGAGTACTAGAAGTCCTAGCATCAGAAATCAGACAATAAAAATAAATAAAACACATCCAGATCAGAAAATAAGAAATCAAACTCTCACTCTTCGCAGATGACAAGATACTCTGTGGAAAACCCAAGACTCCACCCCAAAATTGCTAGAACTCACACAGAAATTCAGCAAAGTGGCAGGATATAAAATCAATGCACAGAAATCAGTTGCAATTCTATACACTAACAATGAGACCAAAGAAAGAGAAATTAAGGAATGATCCCATTTACAATTGCACCAAAAGCCATAAAATATCTAGGAATAAACCTAACCAAAGAGGCAAAGGATCTGTACTCTGAAAACTATAGAACACTTATGAAAGAAATTGAGAAAGACACAAAGAAATGGAAAAACATTCCATGGTCATGGATTGGAAGAACAAATATTATTAAAATATCTATGCTACCTATAGCAAACTACACATTCAATAAAATCCCTATCAAAATACTATCAACGTTTTTCACAGAGGTGGAACAAACAATCCTAAAATTTGTATGGAACCAGAAAAGACCCCGAATAGCCAAAGGAATATTGAAAAAGGAACCAAAGCTGGAGACATCACATTTCAGACTTCAAGCTATATTACAAAGCTGTGACCATCAATACAGTATGGTACTGGCACAAAAACAGACACATAGATCAATGGAACAGAATAGAGAGCCCAGAAATGGACCCTCAACTTGGTAGTCAACTAATCTTTGACAAAGCAGGAAAGAATATTCAATGGAAAAAAAACAGTCCCTTCAACAAAAGGTGTTGGGAAAATAGAACAGCCACATGCAGAAGAATGAAACTGGACCACTTTCTTACACCATACCCAAAAATAAACTCAAAATGGATAAAAGATGTAATGTGAGACAGGAACCCATCAAAATCCTAGAGGAGAACAAAGGCAGCAACCTTTTGACATCTGCCACAACAACTTCTTGCTAGACTTGTCACCAAAGGCAAGGGAAACAAAAGCAAAAATGAACTATTGGGACTTCATCAAGATAAAAAACTTTTGCAGAGCAAAGTAAACAGTCGACAAAACCAAAAGACAATCTACAGAATGGGAGAAGATATTTGCAAATGCCTTATCAGATAAAAGGCTAGTACCCAAAATCTATGAAGAACTTATCAAACTCAACACCCAAAGAACAAATAATCCAGTCAGACATACAAATGGTCAACAGACATATAAAAAAAGTGCTCAACATGACTCAGCATCAGGGAAATACAAATCAAAACCACAATGAGAAACCACTTCACACCAGTCAAAATGGCTAAAATTAACAAGTCAGGAAATGACAAATTGGCAAGGATTTGGAGAAAGGGGAACCCTCTTACACTGCTGGTGGGAATGCAATCTGGTGCAGTCACTCTGGAAAACAGTATGGTAGCTCCTCAAAAAGTTGAAAATAGAGCTACCCTACAACCCAGCAATTGCACTACTAGGTATCTGCCCCAAAGATACAAATGTAGTGATCTGAACAGGCACCTGCACCCCAATGTTTATAGCAGCAATGTCCACAATAGCCAAGATAAGGAAAGAGCCAGATGTCCATCGACTGATGAATGGATATAGAAGATGTGATATATATATATATATATATAATAGATACACAATGGAATATTACTCAGCCATCAAAAAAATTTAATCTTGTCATTTGCAACAACATGGATAGAACTGGAGGGTATTATGCAAAGCAAAATAAGTCAATCAGAGAAAGACAATTATATGATTTCAGTCAAATGTAGAAGTTAAGAAACAAAACAGAGGGGCATAGGAGAAGGGAGGGGAAATTAAGATAAAATCAGAGAGGGAGACAAACCATAAGACATCCTTTATCGTAAGAAACAAACTGAGTGTTGCTGGAGGGGAGGGAGGTGTGGGATGGGGTAAATGGGTGATGGGCATTAAGGAGGGCATGTGATGTAATGAGCACTGGGTGTTATATAGAACTGATGAATCACTGAACTCTACCTCTGAAACTAATAATGCAACATACATTAATTAATTGAATTTAAATAAAATAAAATTTTTAAAAAATTTACTTTCCCCCCAAATATTAAATGAAACATGGATACTTAGAAGAGAAAGAAAATGTAAAAAATGAAAACAAAGAAAATCACCCATAAGTCCACTACGCAGACTACTGGGAAATTTTAGGTATTTTTTTCTTATCTTTTCAAATGTATTAGGAATAAATTTTCTGGGTGAGCTCATGCTAGGAAGAGAGCCTGAGCTTCCAGGACCTGGGTGTTTCTTCCCTCCTGTTGCTTCCACTACTTCTCCCTTTCCTTGTGCTATGAGAACATCACAGTAATGACAGCAGTGACCATGAAAATAGCTTGTGTTTGACAGTCTGCTCTGTACTAGTCCTTACGTGTTCTTCACACACGTGAATTTTAAATCTCACTCCAACCACGTAGGGCAGGTACAATGATTACCCCCAATTTACAGACTAACAAACTGAGCCATAGAGAGGAGAACATCTCCCCCCCATCACCTCCCTCCACTGTCTCCACACCCCTGCACCACCCCAAGTCCTTGTACCATCACAGCTCTCCAAGCGGCTGGTGAACATCTCCCCGGACGAAGAAATGAATCCCGGGGAGCAGCGACAGGTGGTGGCATTGACACACGTGGATTTTGGAGGGCACCAGCGAGCACAGTCTGTGGAGGCAGAGGTTGTGGGGACAGAGACCACAGTCAGAAGACTCAAGAAATGGAGGGAGCCAGCTGCCAGCTGGGGGTCCAGGAGCAGGGGAGGGGAGGTGGAGGAAGGAGAGGGGTGGCTGCCATTGGAAGAAGAAAAGATAGAAAACTCTGGACGTTTGGGGAGGTAAAAGAAGTCTCTGTTATCTCCAGAAGACCAGAGCCTCACTTGAAGAATATGCCCCCCTTTTCCCCTTGCTGGTGTGAGGACCCAGACCCCTTCATGCACCCCCAGCTTCTGTCACCAGTGGGGCTGGCTGGGCAGACTCACCACTAGTCTTCTGGGCTGCAGCTCCCAATGGCAACAGCAGCAGCATCAAGAGTCCTGGGGCAGAAAAAAGAGAGAGATGACAAAGAGAAGAGGTGGAGCTCCAGGTTCAACCCTTGTCCTCACGGCCATTGCATCCTGGGAGGTGGCTCTGATGCTGTGGCCCGTGGCTCTCCCAAGGCTCTAGTAATTTATGAAGATTTGAGGACCAGTCCTCTTCCCTCCCTCTCCTCGGACTCCCTGAGGAATCAGTCAGTGCTACAGGTAAGGGGACAGAATATACACAGGTAATGTCAGGGACACAACATGGAAATTCCAGCCTCTCCCAATGGAGGGGGTAAATATTTTTTTAAGAAATATTTATTTATTTTAGAGAGAGAGGAGAGAGAGCACAGCTGGGGAGGGGGGAGGGGCAGAGAGAGAGAAGCAGACTTCCCACTGAGCAGGGAGCCTGACACGGGGCTGGATCCCAGGACCCAGGGATCATGGCCTGAGCCGAAGGCAGATGCTTAACCAACTGAGTCACCCAGGGGCCCTGGCAGGGGTAAATCTTAAAGCACAAAGTCCACAGATGGGTGTGTGCTCTGTCCACAGCCAGGTCCTTTGTTCTCTGGCAATGGCAGAAGTCTACCTTGAGGATTTCTCTTCCAGGATCACTCCCCTCTGTTTAACCCACATGTTTTGGGGCACACAAGAAGAGCATGGGTTTGGGAGTCAGCCAGCCCCAAGTCTGAGTCCCAGCTCACAGTGGTATTGGTCGTGCAGGGAGCCATGGAATCACGAGAGGGGGAGCTGATGACAGGTGAGGGGTGAGAACTATTACACTGGCGGTTTGAGCCACCATCTCCTGGTTAAGTGGCCGCTCCAGGTGCAGCACCCATGGCTTCTATGGTTCCTTCCAAGTGAGCTCCTGGCCATCCTACAGTGCACTGAGGACACAGCATTTCCATTTATCTCCCAGTCTGGTCCTGAGTGATGGGTCACTGGGCAGGCATCATGGTATGAAAACCACTGCAGGTGTGAAGGAATCTACCCTACGGGCAATCTCCTGGCCACCTGTTAGAGTCTGTCATTCCGTTCATGGGATGCATGATGCTGCTGTGAAGGTCATTCTTTAAATGAGATTGACAGCGAAATCAGTAGACTCTGAGTAAAGCTGATATTCTGGGTGGGCCTCATCTAATCAGTTGAAGACCTTAAAAGGGGAAAAAAGACTGACCTCTTCCAAGCAAGAGAGAATTCTGCTTCCAGACTGACTTCAGACTTGAGATCAAGATCAATGTCCCTGGAAACATCCCTGGGTTTCCAACCTGCCCTACAGATTTTGGACTTCCCAACTTTAACAATCTCATAAACCAATTTCTTAAACTAACACATTCTTTCTCATCTCCCTATTCACACACATATATACACATATATATACACACACACTTATATATACATCTCTATACATATATGTACATATACCAAAACTTGGTTCTGTTTCTCTGGAGAACCAGGTCTAATATAGGCCAGAAAATGAGAAAGCTCTGATAAGTCCCAAAGATTGCCCTAGAAATAAGTGCCACCTACTTTCTTCTCTGAGAACTTAATATAATTGAGTTAATGCCATTAAAACTTTTTCCTTGCTCTCCCTTACACAGATAGTGAAAAAAAAAAAACAGAAATAGAGCAAAAACCAGAAATAAAGCAAAGAACAGAGAAAATACTCAAACGGGATAGAGTTTCCGGGTAGCTTTAGTTGCTCTATCACCATTGTTGTAATTCTGCCTACCTGGCAGCAACCTTAGATGCCCGTTCCGCATGGTGCAGACACCAGCAAGCCCAGCCACAGAGGATGCCGTCTGGTCTTGGTCTGGGTGTGCTGAAAGACTTCCTGTTTAATTATGTCTAACTTCTTAGTAAACTGCTGCTCTGGACGCTTCTTTCTCCTGTGTTTCCCCATGATGAATATCTCTAAAACTCACCCTTCACTTTTTAAGTATTTCTTTAGCATTTCTAGTATTCCTACTGAAAGCCTCCTTGATGGTTTCTATCTTTTTGATATAGGAAGACCTCCCTAACATGAAGCTAATTCCACTGGTGTTTTGGCCCCTGTGAGGTCTATGGTTCAGAGTGAACAGATCATTTTTTATCTATGATTATCTAGTCACAGAATATTTATTCTTAAGTTTTTATTTTGAAATAAGCCTAGATTGACAGGAAATTTCAAAAACAATACGTAGAGGTCCTTCCCCTGGCTTCCTGCAAAAGATATATTTTATGTATTTAGGTTCTTATGTAACAGAAGTCAAATATCTAAACCAGGAAACTGACATAGCACAATGGGAGTGTACAGTTTTGTGACATGTCATCACATGTGTGGATTCCTGTAACTGTCACTGCAATAAAGTAGAAAATATCCCATCACCACAAGGCTCTCCTTCATGTGACCCCAACATCTCTGAACCCTGGCACGTCTAGAATCAAGTTGTTCCCATTCTTCAGCAATACTCAACACAGTCTGAGATTCATATTCATTGATAAAAGAAAATATTCCTGATACGTTTTAAAAGATGAGAGAAAAGTATCTCCAAATATTTCACTAGTCTCTGTAGTGGAATTGTGATGATTTTCTTCGTTTGCATTTTTTACATTTTCTTTGTTTTCTCCATTTCCATGTGTATTAGTCTGTGAATGCTGCAATAGAGTATTAATGAGGTGGCTTAAACCACGGAAATTTATTTTCTCAAATTGTTTCTGGAGGCTGGGTTCTAAGGTCAAGGTGGGGGCAGGGTTAGTTTCTGGCGAGATCTCTCTCCTGACTTGTAGATGGCCACCTTCCTCCTGTGTCCTCATGTGTGGAGAAAGAGTGGGAGAGAGAGGCAAGGAGGGAGGGAGGGAAGGATAGATACAGAGAAGGAGGGATAAAGGGAGAGCGAGAACATTCGTGTCCTCTAGTTACAAACCAGAGCTCTTCACTCTGCATCCCCCTGGCCACATGCCTGCACTGCCCTATCCCCACCACTCTTCCTCTGGCCTGTATTCTTTCCACAAAGTACTTCTGTGCCACTCCCAGGACTGAGGACTCCAGATGCCCCATAATCTTGGATGTGCCCCTCCACCACCTCAAGCCTCTGGACCTTTACAACCCATCATGGGATTGCTGAAGATCTTCCCACGGGGAAATATGAATCTGGATAACAGCAACAGGCTGGGGCACTGAGAGATATGGAGTCAGAAGGGCACCTCGAACCACAGACACTGGGGACAAGACTGTGGTCAGAAGCCCCAGGGCATGGAGGAAGCCAGCTGCCAGGTGGTGACCAGAGAGTGGAGGAGGGGAAGGTTGGCTGCTATTGGAAGAGGAAGAGTTCAGGAAACTCTAAGCATTTGAGGAGGAAGAAAGTTTCTCTTATCGCCAAAGATCATATCTGAGGATCTTTCACAGATTAAGCCTCCTCTCCCTGGCTCTCCCCTTGTAGTGAAGGAACCCAGACACCAAGCTGCCATGCCCTCCATCAGTAAAGGGGCCAGCTGGCCAGGCTCACCCCCAAGGTTCAGGTCTGCAGCTCCCAGTGGCAACAGCAGCAGCACAAACAGCCCTGGAGCAGAAAGAGTGGTGAATGAAAGGAGTCAAGCTCCAATGCAACCCTTGTCCATATGGCCACTGCGTCCACACTAGGTGGCTCTCATCCTGCGGTTCCCCGGCTTTTTAGCAGGATCCCAGAGGCTCCCCAGACCAGGCTCTCACACTCTGCATGGAGTCTTGGGCTCAACCTCTCCCTGCCATCTCCTGGAACTCCCCAAGGAATCAGTCACGAGCAACCGCAAGCCCTCATGGAATCTCAGGTGCTACCAGTAAGGACACAGAATATATGCAGACAGCTGATGCCAGGTGCACAACATAGAAACTCCAATCTCAGGGCACCTGGGTGGCTCAGTTGGCTAAGCATCTGACTTTGGCTGGGGTCATGATCTTGGGGTCCTGGGATCGGGCCCCAAGTAGGGCTCCCTGCTCAGCAGGGAGTCCTCTTCTCCCTCTCTCTCTGCCCCTCCCCCCGGCTCATGTTTGCTCTCTCAAATTAATAAAATCTTTTAAAAAACAAACAAACAAACAAACAAAAAACCTCTCCAGCAGAGGGGGTAAATATTAAAGGAGAAAGTCCTCAGATCAGCCCGTCATTGCCCAGAGCTAGACCATAATAGAAATCTTTCTCTTTCAGGATTCCTCTCCCTGGATTACTGATCTCCCTGTTCCAGGACATACAAGTGAAGAGTGGGTTTTGAAATCAGCCCCAAATTTGGAGTCCTCACTCCTCCCCTTACATGGAGCTTTAGTTTCACCACTTAAATTTTTGAATCTCAGTTTGCTCAATTGTAAAATGGGTATAATAAAAGTGACAATAGAGTGTCATTATTATAGAAGTATGCTCTCAGGATTGAGATGTTGAAATAGCTAAAAGGAAAAAGGAAAAAGCAGCCTTTCCTCTCTTTCTCTACAATTTGTTCTTGACCCAAGACTCTCCTGCCTGTGAGTCACATGAAGGATCTGGCCCTGTATGATTCTCTTCTCCTGGTTCTCCCATGTGGACAAGATTCCTTCCTTTTCACTGGTTGCCCTTCTCCCCGGGAATGCTTCTGCCTTTCCCTGTGTGGCACAGCATGAGGTTCCAGCGGGGAGACTGCACAAGACGGCCTGAGTTCAGCCCCCAACTCTGACACTTTACAGCTGTGATATTGGGCAAGCCTCTGTTTCCTAATCAGCAAAATGGGGATTTTAAGAGTCCCTACTCATAAGGTGAGTCCCTAACTGTACACATGGAGCAGAAAGCCTGGCACACAGTGAGTGATTAATAAGTGTTGGGCTTTTGTTCTATCCCGCTTGGGTCCCTTTATTACCAAGCAGTACAGCCCGAATCAGTTATCTTCACTATGACTTTCTTCTTGCAGAACTTTACCATTTTGTTCACAAAGTAGTATATATTTATTATCTGGAAAGGAGACCATGCTGGACTCACCGGGTGGGCCCTAAATCCAATGACTGGTGTCCTTATAAAGAGAGGGGAGGACTCCGTGAGGCTCGCAGAAGGAGGCCACGTGGAGACAGAAGCAGAGATTGGGGTGATGTGTCTGTAGTACCCGAATCAAGTGTCTCGATCGGAGGGGGGCCCCCTAAATATGAAGTGACAATCGGGTGGAAGCTGGTGGTGCAGGCGGTGACAGGAATTCACCCAAAGCAAAATAAAGGAGATAGAAGTTTACTGAATACACCACAAGGGAGCGGAGGGCGGGACAGCAGGGGAGAGACTGTCTGCCAAGAGGCAGTGGGTGGGGGTCATTTTTAAAGGGGGCAGGGGAGGCGGTGTGGCAACATATGGAATCTTCCCTTTTGGGGGAACTGTGCCTGGTTGTAAGTAGCCCGTTGGTCAGTTAGGGCCTGCAGATATTTTGAGGTGGGCCACCTGATGGGCCTGTCTTCAGACGGTGGGTCGCTGTGGCCCTTTCTGCATTCTGTTGCCCAAGCCCGTTGGCCTAAAAGCAGCCTCTAAGGCGGCCACAAGCCAGGGGGCATCTGGGGCCCCCAGAGCTGGAGGGGGCAATGAAGGGCCCTCCCCAGAGCCTCCACAGGGACTGTGACCCTGCCAGCTCCTGGACTTCAGACTTCTGGTCTCCAGAACTGTGAGAAAAGAAACTTCTGTTGTTTAAAAAACAGCCACCAAGATTGTGATGATTTGTCATATCAGCCACAGTAAACTAATACAGTCCAGAACTTGGATCTGAATCTAGGATATCGGCTCTGGAGCCAGCCTGCTTGGCTTTGAATCTTATTCTATCGCTTACCATCTGTGCATCCTTCAGGGTCACAGAGCTTTCCTAAGCCTTAATTTCCTCATCCATAAAACTGGGCTAATAGAAGCACTTCCCACACAGGGCTGCTGTGTGAATTCAGTCAGTGATACTCATTAACCACCCAGGAGAGTAACTACCACATGGTGTGTGCTCCCTGTGTTACCTGCCATTAATAATGGGAGCAAGAAGACGCTCACGTAGGTATTACACTTTGAAAGCTGCTTCTTTTCAACGATGGATGAAATCAGTCGTGACTGAATTTGTATCCAACAATCTATTCCACATTTTTCCTTTCCAGATTGAAATTCTAAACTCCTCAAGCAATTTCTTTTCCCTTTTCTCATGATAGCATTTCCCAAAATATGACACCCAAAGCCTCCTATTTTGGATGTGATTTTACATTTGGTTTACATCATGGACTCTGGAGTGTATTCTTTTTTTTTTTTAATTTTATTTTATTATGTTATGTTAGTCACCATACAATACATCATTAGTTTTTGATGTGGTGATCCACAATCCATTGTTTGCGTATAACACCCAGTGCTGTATTCTTTTTTTTTTTTTAAGATTTTATTTATTTATTTGACAGAGAGAGACACAGCGAGAGAGGGAATACAAGCAGGGCGAATGGGAGAGGGAGAAGCAGGCTTCCCGCGGAGCAGCGAGCCCGATGCGGGGCTCGATCCCAGGACCCTGGGATCATGACCTGAGCCGAAGGCAGACACTTAACGACTGAGCCACCCAGGTGCCCCCCAGTGCTGTATTCTATGTAAATGTCTAAACTTTTAAACTCTGTGAAGGCACTAGCTTGGCTTTCTATTGCTTTTACAACTTCAACGGCATTTAGACCAATGTTTGACAGGTGGAAATTACCCAATAAACACAGCCACTAGTCAAAAATTGCATTTCCCATAGCAGGCTAACGTAAGTGATAAATGTTTCCCCAAAATCAAGAAACAAATTAGAAAGCATATATTGAGCACCTACTGTGTGTTAGCTACTCCACCAGGCACCAGAGAGAAAAAA